TCTCCGTTGTAGCTTCTCATGTTGAAATACACAGTGCGAATGGAAAATATTAAGTGCTAATTATTCTACTGGGCTTTTAAATGCTTGAATCTGATTGGTTGTTGAATGTTCTAACATGTGCAGTTATTTTCAAGAAAAACCAAATCATTTGTTTGCATTTCCACTGAATATTTTATACCGTTACTTTTCTTTAAATGTGGTTTGCATATGCGTAGGTTCCCCGCTCAAGGAGGCCTTTGAGAAGATCGATAAGCTGTTGTCGGGACGTCCAGTGGTGACGGCTGGAAAGAGTGTGTCGACGTCGCAGCATCCGCAGGGTTTGGAGTTTGTCAGTTACAGACTGGCGGAAAAGTTTGTGGTAAGGCAGGTTTTTACACAGAGCGAGTAGATTTTTGAAGGCAAATAAAGTTGATTTTAATAATGCATTTGCAGAAACAAGGCGAAGAGGAGGTGGCGTCCAATCATTCGGCAGCGTTCCCCATCGCCGCTGTGGCGTCAGGAATAATGGAAATGCATCCTAAAATTGGGGACCTTATACTCGCCCACCTCCACAAGAAGTGCCCGTATGCTGTGCCACACTACCCACCCATGGAGCGTGGCACATCTGTGGAGGATTACCAGAGGTAAGAGGATTGCTCGATCAGCTGGATCTACTGAAAGTTGTGGCTAAAAATGTTATTCAATAAAATTAACGGGCCGTTCACACAGAGTGTGTTTTTGCATCTGCATTGGTTGTTTGTCCATGCATCATCATTTAAAATACAAGAACGGTTCCTAAATGAAGATAGCCTGGTTAATAGACAAATCATTTCCAGCGGGGCGTCACCAATGGACATCACGGTAGACCTAAAACCAATCAGAGCGATGAAGGAGATGACGTATGCAGAATGTTGTTCTTTGCTCGGTTTTTAACAAAAAGGAAACGTTCAAATCGCTTAAAACAGACGCGATAGCTGATTCGAACGAGTGATGTTCGATGGCGGCATCCATCTTTGTAATGTAGGCTACAAAACCTGCTTCAAAATCCCAGCGCTATCGTCATCGTGTAAAGCCCGTCCCAACATTTCTGATTAGTGCCTCGATTTCGACGGATTGGAAATGGGCTCTTGCCAGAGGAAATCTAAATTTGCCGGAAGTTAAACTTTGATTTCTGTATTTGATTTGCATATTGTAAGGGTGGTTTCACTACAGTGGTTCAGGCCGGATGACTAAAGACCTTATGGGTAAAAAATACATTTGAAATGCTTGACCAGCGATATATTGTTAGTGAACATCCTGACACTTTAAAGCAATATCTAGGCCGTTTACACCTGGTGTTAAGACGCGTTTTTGTCTCGAATCACAAGTAGACGAGGGAGACGCATAACCGTTTACTCCTGCTGTTTTAAAGACATTCAAACCGACCAATCAGCAGATTACAGCTCCCCCACTGTTCATAAGGTGCGATAATTAGCAGGTCTTGATTACCATCGGCACCTCTGACCTTTCAGGAATTACAAATGTCCCTTTTGGGGTTGGAAAAGGAAAGCAAATGTCTTTGTTGATTTTTTCCATCCATTTGGATCACACAGTTTCAACATAAACTGATGATGCATATTTTTCAGGAATACAACAGTCATGGCATAGTGGATTATTAACTTTTTGCATTTAATTTTATTTCAATAATCATGTTTTCAAAACGCATTGATTCGTATTTTTTAGAATCAGCATAAATGTGGAAAACAATTGAAAAAATGTAACTGTGGAACAAGCAATATATTCAATTAGTTTAAATGTGTTAGATTAAATCAATTGAAACTATTACAGAAATTTCATTTTTGTATGACTGACAAATATGCATCAGTTTGTTTATGTTTAAACTGTGTCCAAATGGATATCTAATATCTAAATCTTAATATTTTTTGAAGTGTAAAGCATTATGATTGTACCTTTCCCATCAGGATTCTGGGATACCGTGTGGACAACTCTAAAGTGGAAGGGCCGGACAGCTTCCTGAAGAGAATGTCTGGGATGATTCGTCTCTATGCGGCGATAATCCAGATGAGATGGCCTTACACTGGCAAACAAGGGGTTAGTCATGTTCATTTACATGCATTAACCCTCTAAAGCTTCAATTATGAAATAATAGTCAAATAGAACAATTTATTGAACCTTTAGACAAATATTTTTTTTAAAGTCTGCATATGTATTTTACGTTGAGAATCAGATTTGATACATCAGGTGAGAATATTAAACTCACACTCGAAGAGGAAAAAAAAACACCTCAGTTTTATTCAATCATATCTTTATAACAGTCTAGCAGATACTTATGTAATATGCATATAAATATATCTGCCATGAATATATTTAAATGTTTAGTATGATCAAAGCTCTATAGATTTAAATCTTATAATGCAATGCAATACAATGATGATTGAGATGATTTCCTCAAAAGCCTGATGACCACATTTGATACTCATGATTTTTCTAATAAATCATGTATAGACAATAAATGAAATCTAAGTTTCTTCAGTCCAGTAAGTGTTTGTACAATTATAATAATACATTTATTTGCTTCAAAAAAGGTCCAATCAATCAGGCGACTTGTTTATCAGTAAAGTTCTGATCAAGTTGATCATTTCAGGGTGTCAAACTCAGTTCCCTGCTTCAACACACACACACTTGCAGTTTTTCAAATGAGCCTGAAGGACTTGATTAGCTGATCAGGTGTGCTTAATTAGGGTTGAAGCTAAACTCTGCAGGGTTGTGGCCCTCCAGGAACTCCAGGAGTTTGACACAAGGCTTTAGAAATATGAATATGCTTTATAGGGTCAATATTAACATAGAGAATGATTCTGTATGCGACGGTCATATGTATGAATGTGAATATGTAATATAAGCTTGTCTCTGTTGACAGCCTCATCCTCACGGCTTGAGTCACGGCTGGCGCTGGCTGGCCCAGATCCTCAACATGGAGCCGATCGCTGACATCACAGCAACTATCCTCTTCGACTTCCTGGAGGTAAATTTGTCTTCCTATTGCAAACAAATTGTTTTTAATTATCGTTCGCACTTAATGTTTTTTGGCATGTGCATCTCTTTAGGTCTGTGGAAATGCCCTAATGAAACAATATCGCGGCCAGTTCTGGAAACTGATATTGCTTATTATCGAGGAATACTTCCCAAGGTATTTATACATGTCTTTTTAGACTTTTCCCTCTTATACTTTGAATGTGTTGTTTTATTGCCTTATACATGCATAATATACCCTATATATATATATATAATTCATCCATAAATGAACCTAATGAACCTAAAATCAGGTGCAAGGCCTAAAAATGACTTTTCCTGCCATTGGCTGATGACTTAAGAAAATGTACTTGCTATAAATATGTTTTACCGGCCATGAAATAGGAATTTAGTACCATTGAAGATTCACAATTCTCTATTCTAATTTCAAGACCACAGCTAAAACTACTAGCCTAACTAATATACATTTATTAAAGACAACAAATAATTAGATTGCAAGCAAAAGCACAATAAAACAAAAATACAAATGCAATAAGCAGGGCTTTTAAGGTTTTTCCGGTAGATTTCAGGTACAGAGAAATTGAATATGTAAGCAATCAAATGTAAAATGACCCTTCACTGTATAAATTAAACATCCTTGTTAAAGTTAAAAAGGTTATTTAATCAAGAGCAGTGAGTATTCTTTTATTTGTCCTTTGTTGTTTGATTAACATTATAAACACGGACAGCATCAGGAAAATTAGGCTACTGTCACTTTAAGAACGAATGCACTGATGCTGACACACGTCTACTTTTTTAACTGTTTACGTTCACTTAAAGGGTTAGTTCACCCAAAAATGAAAATGATGTCATTAATGACTCTCCCTCATGTCGTACAGAGCACATCAGACCTCCGTTCATCTTCAGATATTTTAGATTAAGTCCGAGAGCTTTCTGTCCCTCCATTGTAAATGTGTGTACGGTATACTGTCCTTGTCCAGAAAGGAAGTAAAGACATCATCAAGGTAGTCATGTGACATCAGTGGGTTAGTTACAATGTTTTGAAGCATCGAAAATACATTTTGGTCTTGAAAATACAATTTTAGGCCCTGATCAGAAATGTGTCTCAGTGATTATTAAATACTCAAAAACAAATATTAATACCAGGGGCGAGTTGCATTAAGACTAGTCTTACAAAGTTAGTTACATTAAAACATACTCTGGTCTAATTTGATACCGAACCGTAAGACTGATTACCCCTAACTAACTGCTAGTTGGTCATACTAGTTCTTGGCTATGTTTATCCAACTGGCCCCTGGTGTAAACTGCTCACTTATTGATTAAACTAAACCTTTTTATTCCCTCAGAATTGAAGCGGTCACCAGCATTGGTCAGATGGGCTCGGTAACCAGACTCAAACAGTTTCTAGAGGTGAGTGTCATCTTATATTCATCTTTATTCATGAGGGAGAGTAATTACTGACAGTTTTCATTTTGGGGTGAACTATCCCTTTAATAACTAATGCACACTGACTTTTGTACTTTCTCTGACCCAGGCGTCTTTACGAACCAAGCAGATTGCGCCTCCCCAGAGCGAGCTGGGCTCTGCCTTCTTCAGGTCCTGAGGGATGGAAGTGTGTGGAAATATTCTAACCTTAACTATTCTAACGCTAACACTGAAGCGAAGTACTAGCAATGGACACATGTGTTCATGTAAGAGTAGAGGATTCGTTTAATAGAGCATCATGCCATCCTAACTTTAAGTTTGTTTTCATTTATCTGAGCATGTAATTATATGATGTTCAAATACATGTGGGTGTCTCAATATATCCAGTCAATCTCAAATTCATGAAAATAATCCCCCAACCCAAGTTTATTATCTGTTTTAGACTAATGATTGTTAACTGTAATCAGTTTCCCCTAATTTTTGGACTATGATGGAGTGTAATATAAGATGAAATGCACTGTATATTGATGTGGATATTTATGAATTTATATGGCATTAGGATTAAACAATTACACCAAGTGTATTATGAGTGTGGATCAGTAAAAGCACCAATTAATACCACAAAACATCACAAAGTTCATCAGATCCATTTCTATTAATTACGTCAGCTCAATATGGAAGATTGTTTTCCGCGAGGGAATACAAAAAAATTAATTGCATTTATTTTCAAATCTCACAATTCTGCTTTTTTTAATCCTCAGAATTGTTTATATATCATTACATTCTATTTTTTTTCTCAGAACAGTTAAATACAGCTCAGCTTATAAACAATATGACAATTAAATAAAAAACATTAAACACATGTCTAAAACTTAAATTAAACCTTAATAGAACTGCAACCAAAAACCTCCAAACAACGCCATTATTTCAATTTAACTTAAACAAAAAATAAAGTTGAATATTGTATCCATTGTATTTTATGAACACACATGATGGGGACCATTAAAACGTGCCGAACGTGCTGTTAATGAATGAATGAATGAGGCGCTTTCATAATAAAGCATTTAGCTAATTTATATAGCGCTTTCATTAATAATTAACTAATTCATCCCGCCTTTAGAGGGCGCTGTCATTTACGTGGTGATGTCTATTTCAGCTGTAGGAACTTAGCGATGCAGTTTGCTAATTCGCTTATAAAAACATTTTTAATCCATGTTATAAATAAACGTGTTTTAAAGCTTTTAAACGAGAAACACGAGTTATTTTCGCTCGTGTCAGTGGCGGGAAGTCTCTCTGAGGATGTTTCTTCCAGTCATGTTTCGCGCCGCGCGGTGTGTTGATGTTGTTGTTGTTGTGTCGCTGTTGTTGTGTGCGAGGGCTCGGTTCGGTCTCGGGTGTTCGGGACTGATGCTGTGCCGGTCCTGCGGGCACGAGGTGGCGGAAGACACGGATCTGAGGTACGAGCCCAGTCGCCTGGCTCTGTCACACCGGAACGACACGGTGATCGCAGGGAAGCGCGTCTCGGTTCAGCTCTTCGAGAATCCGCAAGGCTTCCAGTTTGAAGTCGTGACTTTTAAGCGAGCAGATGTTCTGAAGCACTGGCCGGCGGACAGCCACTTCTCCTGGTTCCCCGGTCACTCGTGGACCGTCGCCTCCTGCCCGCGGTGCAAAACACACCTAGGTGCGTGTTCCGTGTTTAAAACTGTATACAAGTGTATAACGTTATACAACTTTATAAGTAATTAGGTAAATGAAACAACATTAGCAGTTTTGTTCTTTGAGATTTTTTTTTTAGTACAATACTTAAAAATGATGCCATGTATAAGTAAATATCTTTATAAATTTCAGTAATGAATCATAGCCTAAGTAGTTTTGTTCTGAGATTATTTATATATAGATATAGATGGATAGATATATAATATAGATATATAGACTGGTTTATGAATATGAAATCAACTTGATTAATGTTGAGAAAACACTTGTTAAAAGTGAAACGTGTAAATCCAGTGATCAAATGCAATCCAGTGATCAAATGCAGTGTTTTCAGTGACTAATATGGTCTGTGTGTGAAACTCCTGAGCTTCTGAACACCAAGACATAAGTGACATTTTTAGAAAGTTAAAGTAGAATCAATGGATAATTTACTGCCATTGTGAGAATAACATCAAACCATCTATTGGAAAACTGTAGCAACTGATCTAATTATGAGTAATTTTTGTAATCTGATTGTAATCCAGATTACATGTAATCACTGTACACACGTATACAGGTGAAATTTCGGAAAATTAGAATATGGTGCAAAAGTTCATTTATTTCAGTAGCTCAACTTAAAGGCATTCTCACCCCAAGGCGTCACCTTTGACCATGCTTCAATATTTGACGTTTTAGGCGCCCTTTAGCGTCACTTACATGACGCGATCCTACGGCGTCATCTTATATAGACTCGTATGCAAAGATTTTTCAAGGAACAAGGGCTTGAAATATCTCACTTTGCATGTAATGAGTCTATATAATATATATTAGTTTCACCTTCACCAGTTATTGAAATAAATGAACTTTTGCACTATATTTAATTTTGTTTCACCTGTAAAGTTCTGGTTTAATTTGTAGTGGGTTACTCATTCCAAATGACACATTTAAGGTAACATTTATTTTTTACAGTAATAACTTTAAAAACAAGAATTAAACAACTTCTCTTATACATTTAACCTGAAATCTCAGTGTAAGTGTGTAATGATGTGATGCCTCCTCTTGGATAAGGTTGGGCGTTTCAGCCCAGCGACTGGCCCAGGACGGTGAACCGAGAAGAGTTCGACGCGTCGGACCAGACGTTTGTGGCGCTCATAATCGACAGACTTCTGCAGGAACACTTCGCATCGACACTGCTGATGACACCCAAATCTTTCCGAAGTTGACCATTAGCCAGACCACAATTTATACTTTTTAATAAAGAGATTTATATGGGAATCAAGACTAGAATGCCTGGTTTTGTTTTTGACCTGTGTGAAATGAAAATACCTATTGACTTAAATAAAATAAAAACCTTCATTGCAGTTTCTTTGCAACTGGATGAATCCCAAACAGTGTTTTATTGAGCAAAACCAACTGAACAGTTATAAGTGTCTTACGGTAACACAACCACTACACAAATTATGTGAATAAGAAGGGGAAAGAGTTACAAGCATGATTTCTTTTATTTTTTTTTTTTGGAAGATTTTATTTTCTTTATCAAAAATGTTATCCATTTCAAATCTGGTGAATGTCTGTAAAACAAGACAAGATAAAAACCAAAGACTCAATGATGGTGTCCACATCCCCTCTTTCCTCAGCCCTCCTGAACTGACATGGTTACAAGAGGACCAACTACTGATGTCTAAACGTGAAGGGTTTACACACCGAGAATAAAGTAACAAAACGGTGGAGAACGCTAGAGCTAGCGGATCACTGCGCACCATGGCTTCTGTTCAATTAACCACACAAAACTTTAACAGGAAGAAAAATAATACATATTTGTACATATATATTTATAAAAAAAAAAACCAAAACAAAACAGAAAACACTATTCGCAAGTCTACTCCAGACGGCGTGCAGCCAATAACTACAGTGTTTTGCTTTTTACCTCGAAATGCGTTTGGAAATTGAGATGGTAGATGCCATGTCGGCAAGGTTTGCAGTCATTTTATTGTGAGTCTGGGACTTCAACATGGCAAGTTCAGGATAGAGGAAAGATGGAGCTCAAAACCAAAAAACAATCTGAAGAGGAAAAAGAAGCATCTTGCTCCCCAAAAATAACAAAAAAGCCAAAGAAGCAATTTGGAAACGACTGGGAAATGTGGATAATATTCCTCTAATTCAGCTTCAGTCATCCTCGCCATCATCATCCTGAAACACCACAATACATGAATTAGAGGCCTTTCATTTGAGGTGCATGTATATAGAAATGTATAGGCATGTGTGTATACTATATATATATATATATATATATATGAAACTCAAATTTGAATATGGTGCAAAAGTTAATTTATTTCAGTAATTCAAATCAAAAGGTGAAACTAATATATTTAGTGCATATATATAACTATTTACATATGCATCATCAATACTTTTCAGAGGGATTACATTTCTGTAATTAAACTCCTATTTAAATTTTTTATTTTTTTTCCCCAACTTCATGTAACTCAAATTTTCTGAGATTTTATATTTGGGGTTTTCATAAGCTATAACACAATCATCAAAATAATAAATAATTAGTTTGTTGATTAATACTAAAAAAAGTTTTTTTTAAATAAATAACTTTCAAACATTTCTAAGAGTGCATTTATAAGTGTTCTTATGTGTGTGTGTGTGTGTGTGTTTATATATATATATATATATAACAGAGCAACATACCTCCCCATCATCATCATCATCTTCCTCTCCGTCATCTTCCCCCTCTTCATCAATATCATCCAGGCCTTCCTCATCTTCCTCCTCATCCTCTCCCTCCTCATCCTCCATGTCTGGGACCTGCAATAAGTTGATAAATAAGTCAAGATTTGAAATGCAAATTATTTACTCTATAATTTCCATTTCAACTGTCCAGTAGCATAATTTAACGAGCTGGAATGGAAAGTTCCAGCTGAAAAATGTCCCATCAGTATGTGGCTGTTGTTCCAGTCTCACCAAATAGTACTGTAGGGGATTGGGCCAGATGTCGTCTTTAATGACTTCGCCCAACTCGTCCGCCCCTGAATCGGCGTGATCGGTGAACCAGGTGAAGAAACTCTCGGGCTCTTCGTGTTGCCTCTTCTTGCCCGCTTTACTCTGTGTCTGACTGGCCCGACTTGTGAGGTCCTGCGAAAGAATAAAGGTTTCACATAAAAACTCTGCATTCTTTGTCAGATAGTTGTACGATTCTGAGTTAACAAACATCCATCCATACTTTTCCTGGTTTCCATTTGATCTCTGTTGACTTTGAGGTTGGGTCTCCACTTTCGTTCAGGTGAATTTCTTTGGAAAGGACTTTGTTCTCGAAATACATGTTTTCGTCGAAATACTAAAACGAAACGGCGAAATGGTGAGTTGTGAAAACAAAAACTCTAAGCCACAAAAACATAAATCACACTTTTTTAAGCACTTACAAAATCTATTCTGTAGCCAGATTTGATGTCTTCAAACTCTGTCACCTCTACTCTGGTCAGATAATGAAGCGCCTCCTCGTCCTCCTCCCCAAGAAGAGCGGAGACTACACAAATCAAGCCGCGTTACATTAGACAGCTCGGATACACAGCGTGAACCAAGTTCAAGGGTTTGCACGGGATCTTACCTTGTGGGTGGTTGACAAATGTTGTGACCCAAAAGTTGGGGATTTTGGCGATGAGTTCTGACCTCTTCTGGAAGAACGGCTGGCGAAGTTTGTTGTATTTCTGTTCAACTTTGAGAATTTCCTCACTCGCCTGCTCATTAAGTCTGGACAAGATCAGGAAAAAAAAGTTACATCCATTCACAAGCGTTACTTATTTGTTAAAGCGTAGATGATGCATTCAATGAAGCTCAACATACCTGTCAATTTCATTCTGTACTTCATCAATGTGCTCGATGGCTTCTTGTTGTTCTTTTTCTAAACAAAGTTCAAGAAAAAAACTATGTAAAGAATAATAAAAAAAGTGCAATTACAAGCATATTTGTGCATAATTTCTTAAAAACAAAAGCAACGTTATTATTAAATAACGGTACATTTGTGTGACGCGAAAACAATCCAATGCATTGAACTGAGAGGCAGCCGCGCAGAAGCCGCGTGGTTTAAATGCGTACAGAATCGCTCGCGCTGCACCTGCTTCCGTCGCGAGCACAAAATCGTACGAGCGTGTAAAGTCGCTTCGGCGTTCATTTCCATTATCATTCACCATTTAAAGTCCACAAACAACCATTAGTCTGTGCTACATCATGGCGGAGACGTGGCTAGGCTAACGTTAAGCTAAAGCACAACAACAATAAAGCAGCGCGCGGACGCTTCCGTTCCGCATGTTCCACGCTGTTCAACTGCACGCGTTTCTTCGAAAATTCCATTCGCGAGTAACACAAATAAGCTCCCGCGCTTAGAATTTGATTTTTTCAAATAACGGTTTTTGTTTGTGTTCAAATGGTGCTTTATGGCGCGCTTAGCTCGCGCACGGCCAGAAATCAAACATGGCCTCCGCTACCGGCTGCTGCCGTTCCTCCGAGAACATCCAACCGGACCCACGGCCAATCACAAGCACTGCACCCCGCACTGTCTACAGGAACGAGTCATACGCGAGCCGCTGCTAATAAACTAGCGAAAATAACGAATAAAACCCCTTTGGGGAGAGAATAGAAACTGAAAATGGCCGCCGATCGGTCTTTCTTACCCGAGGTCTCGTCGCCTCCGTCGTGGTTCGAGTTCAGTTCCTTTTTACTGACTTTAGCCGCTGAAGCAGACATGATTTCACTGATCACGACGAGAGGAGTTTTCAGTGAGAATCAAGCGATTTTTAAACTCGTTGAGGTAGAAGATCGTCCTCCTTGAAGTCGGTTTCTGGAGACTATGATAGGACAGGAACAGAACTGAGTGAGCCCGCGCTGCTCCACACACACAAACTTACGGCGAGGGAACGAACGCAGATTCTCACGCGCTCTCTTTCGGACAGAACGCGCCCCTCACGAGCTCGAAAAATCAACTCCGCCCCTTCCAGAACAACCCGCCGAGCTCGACGTGAGTCCCCGGATCTGCGTTCTGATTGGACGGTGGGACAAGGGGCGGGGCTTTGCGTGGAACCGCCACAAAAAGGGCGGGATTTCAACGAAGCTCTCATAACATGTCATCCGAATGTATTTAAAATGGTTCTGACACAACACAACACCGCAATTAAACACACATGACATTGTTTATATAATGTTGGTTGTTAAAAATATGTAAATGGACCCTAATTCCTGTAGCTTTAACAATAGAGTGGCACAAGGAACGCCAAGGTCATGGGTTAGATTTATATGAAAGCATTAATTAAAAGTCTCTGCCAGGTAGTTCACAGGATATAGAGCATGTAATTATTTATAATGACGTGCTCATGGTCATATCAGGTCTATAACTTCTCTCTCTATCACTTCTCCACTGTCATGTCAAATAAAGGCAAAAGTTATACGTTTTTATGTTGTGACATTTTAGGGAGTGTAGTTTATTATTATTTTTTTACACTAGTGTAGATAGAAATGGACTACAAATCCATAAAACTGTTAACTTTTAACCTAAAGGCCCTCCCATTTTCAAAGGCCTCTTGCCCCAATGAATTTGCATGACTTTGCCAGTCGTTTGAGACTTACTGGATGAGGATTTAAAAAATATCTTTACTCACAATTTCTACCTAATAATGACAGGGTGAATGAACTCAGGCATTGCTGTTCTGAAGCATTTTTTTCTGGCTTAGAAGAATCATTCATTTGAGTCGATACGACATTGTGTGCAAAAGTTTATTTTGTCATATATAAATTTAACCTCACAAACCAATTAAAACTCTTGAGAACCATACAAACTGTCCCTTGTTATGGGAAAAGAATCATGTCACAGATGTACAACATGCAACAAATGAGTAGAAAATAGTTGGCTTTTTAAAGAACAAAATACAGACTTTGTTAAAACAAAAAAAAAAAAGACACCTAGAAAGTAAGGTTCATGAGAATTTATTTCTTATTTTTGATGGTGGCTTGACAAATCCTCTTGAAGTTTAAAAACTTTATAAGCTTCCTAGCATGTTTTATCATATTGTTAAGTGTGTCAAGCATTACTTTGCATGTTGCATGTCACTTTGCTTAACATGAATTAGGGTGACCAACTGTCCTGTTTTCCCAGGACATGTCCTGTTTTCATATAACAATATTATAACAATTTTCTGTCCATACAGAGGAGGCATAACCTACTTTAAATGTATTGAAATTAATAAGGTATCTTTGAGTAAACTTCGACTATCATTTGAGAAGGCCCATGTCATGTGTTTGCTGGGCCGAGTGTCCTGGTTTTTGGTAATCAAATAATTTGGTCACCCTAACATGAATTAAGTTTGAATTAAGTAATGTTTTAACACACTGTAAACATTAACATGTTGGTGATGTTTTAGCATTTTGCTAGCATGTTTTAACACATAGCTAATGTTTAAACGTTAACATGAATGAGTATGTTGCTAGCATGTTTTTAACATGCTGCATAATTTAGCATGTTGCTACGAATTAGCACATTGCTAGCCTGTTTTAACACATCCGAAATCACATACTGTCTAAATAGATACTACATTTGAATTTGAACTTCACAAGCATTAAAAAGTATGTTCAATAAAATATGAGTGTGTGTAGCATAATGGACGTACTACATCCGCCATGTTGACCTACTTCACTGCCATTCATAAATCCTCTCCTGTGGCCTCATGGGATAGTAAAGTGCCCATCATTGCACACTTCAGAAGACTTTTCGCCAACTGTTTTTCGAAAACTAAGTATTCTGACATACTACTCTTTTGGCAGACTATATAGTAGGGAACTATTCAAATTCGGACGCAGCTTTCGTTAATATGTTGCTAGCACGAATTAGCTCATTGCTAGCATGAATGAACAACCAGTAATGGCACATAATGATTCTTCATTCATCAATTAGATACAGTACATATTCCCTGCAGGTTTACTACATAACGTAAATCACAACATCACATTAGTATTAATAAAACACAATCAATGTTGAAGAGCTAAAAACTTCTCCCCCATGATCATCAGTCATACAGTCCCGTTGGCGTGTCTGCTGTAGATCCTCTCCCACGCTACCGTCCTACAGACGCAGAAGAAGTCCCACAGGTTGCAGACGACTCCTCTGTCGAACGGGTTGTCCTCAGAGTCGCGGTGTTTGAGGTAGACGATGCGGTGGCGTGACATGAACTCCCATGTTGTGGTGTTAGCGGAGGCCAGGTACAGGTGAATGCACAGCAGGAGCAACACGACCACGGAAAACACCCCCGTCACAGCGATCGCCCCGAGCAAGAACCCGTTCCGACTGAACCACTGCTGCCAGGAGGAGGCGAACACCACGCCGGACCTGGAGACACACACTTCAGCTCAATCATAGTTGCTTTGATGCATTATACAGTCACATCAAAGTTTCTTCAGACAGTTTATTCGCCATAGTTTAAAAAATGGTAATAAATGATGACTAACCCTTACCTTACACAAATAGTCCACATACACTACCATTCAAAAGTAATATTGTTAAATTATTACAATTTAGTTTTGTTTTCTATGAGAATATATATATATAATAACAAATATTTTGTCTTTTTTCTACTTACTAGCACTGTACTGTTAGATGTATTATTCATTTATTTATTTAGATCAAATTTATTTATTATTTTATTTTAATTATTTATTTAAAAGTATTAATTTAGTTTTTATTTAATTCAAAAATGTGTTTAGTAAGTTTAAATTTTATTCTTATTATTTTTTTATTTTTTTTACTTATTACAGTTTTACGCCATTTTCTAACACTATTCTTTAAAAGATTGCATTATTTATTAAAATCATATTTTATTTATTTATTCAAATCAAATTGGATTCATTTATTTCAATAATTTTAAGTTATTTTAATCACATTTATATACTCATTTACTTGATTTATTATTTACTTTAATCATTTTTATTTTAATCAAATGTATATTATAAACACTTTTCTAATAATGCACATTATTCTTTAAAAATTGCATGATTTATTTAAATATTTTTTTTATTTAAATCAAATTGGATTTATTTATTTAAATAAAATTATTTTAAACACATTTATTTACTTAAATTGATTTATTTACTTTTTTATGTTCTCCTATTTTGTTTTTTATTGTAATAAATGTAATCTAATTTATTCTCATTTTTATTACTTATTTATACTTTAACCATTTTTTTTCTGTAAATTTTTCTAAAAACGCACAATGCAACTTATTCCTAAAAATGAGAAACTGCATTATAATGACCTCATTATGTTGTTTAATTCACAAAAGTGGGTCTAATTTGGAAATAAATGTTTATAATATGTCGTGGTATTTTCTGAACATCTTTACACTTACTATATCTAAACATATTAAATGCGCTGGCAGTTCAATACAGCAAATGCATGTTGTGCTCACACACACACTCACCATGCAGCCTGTAGAGCCCAACACACAGCAGCAAACTGGACACACAGGTACAGCAGGAACCACCTGTGATTTCTCTCGCCGACACAGTTGTCGATCCAGGGGCAATGATGGTCGAAACGCCTCACACAGCGCTGGCACGTTCTGCAGTGCCGGGCCCTCATCGGTTGCTGGTCCACATGAACAGAGAAACATCTGAATGCAAACTCACTCAATCACACAGTATCACACACATAATCTGAAACCAATGCAAACGTCTCCATTGCTTTGTATTGCAACAATGCAGAAACGCAGTTTTTATAAGCCGTCGAGCCCAAAAAAAAAACGAGCGTTTAAGGACATAAAAGTGGATTGAGACATTGAAGCAACGTGTCACATTACTCTGAGAACTAACTTACGCCCACTGGAGGGGACGTAATCGGCGACAGGATAGCTTAGATAACAAAAATATAATATATAAAACTGACATTTGGACATTTGACATACCAGCGACAAAATGTGGATGCTGAGTGTCAGGATCCCATTCGCTTCACATCTTCTGTAAACCACGTTTTTGGGGCTTATTTCACAAACACAAACCACATGAAATCGAATATATCCCTGATTTCGCTTATTTCTGTTTCTTTAGCTTGTTTGAGCAGCTTTTAGACATTTTGTTTTTTGTTATAAGTCAGAAATGACCAGGATGCAGCTTCACCCAATGCAAAGTCAATGGAGACGGTCACAATGAACGTTTCTATGCTGATGTTCCTGTGATTGCCCAGATGTGTGGGTGTGCATCAGCACCAGTAAGAAGCAGAATCCACAGCGCCGCTGCTTGACGGAGCAATGCTCTTGAGGAATCATCTTCTCCAGCTCTTCATCACGGACCACTGGCGCCCCCTGAAAGAGTCCACAGATCGCTGTAGGTTTCACTTCAGCAAGATGTTTTCTAAAAACAGACTTCACGTTCCTGTTTACCTTCGTGTCGTCGTCAGACAGAACGAAACCCGGATCCATCAGAGACACGGTGAAGTACAGCAGAACGGAGAGCAGAACCAGAGCGCTGAACATCACCGGGTGCAACAGGTCACCTCGCTCCTGACATTTCCTGAGATCTGCAGAACATAAGGTCATATCTGACAGATCAAGAACATAGATATAACCACACACACATCAGGTCTCCTCGCTCCTGACATCTCCTGAGATCTGCAGAACATAAGATCATATCTGACAGATCAAGAACATTGACATAACTACACACACACACACACACACCTGACATCTCCTGAGATCTGCATCTCTTACTTACATCATATCTGACAGATCCAGAACACAGAGACGTAACTACACACACACACAAACACACACACACACACACACACACACACACACACACACACACAATGGAATCAAATTAATGCAAATGTACCTGTGTTGTGCAGAAACAGCACTAAGGTTGTGAGCCAGGTCAGAATGACATGAGCAGTTCGCACGAAACAGCCTGATCTAAACATGTTCTTAAACATCCTGTCTCACGGGAATATTAAAAACACCCAAACCATGGCAAAGTTAAATAAACAAGTACTATTCTGTGTGTACTCTTGTATACACCAACAAAAAGAACCCATTTCAGGTCATTTCTAACGTAATTTCATAAATGTAATCGCTGGTCGTGTGTTTTTATTTCTCTGCTTTTGTTTTGTTCTGATAGTTCCGCGTTTGAGCGGTTGGTTAGATTTCAAAATAAAAGTCGGTTTCCGAAGCCTAGATTTCAAAATAAAAGTAATTTCTCGAAGCCTAGATTTTCAAAACAATTCTCTGCTAATTCCATTAAATGTGTATTATAATATAGAACTATATGGTTTAAAGTGATAAATAAAATAATTTGTAGATTATTAAACTCAATTAAAATGCCAGGGTCTAGAGACGGAAATAGACTGCATGATATAAGGAGAAAATTACACCAAGCAATCGAGCATGTTTCCAGAGCAACTAAAGATTTGAACTGCAGATGTCAGTGTTCAAACACTTATCAGGACAAAGAAAAGGCCTGACCATTGCAGTTTAATGTAGTACTCTAGTTGCATGATAAAGCAGAGATATGATCTGTCTAACAGTTCAGAGACTAGGTCAAAAATAACTAGGACTGAACCTGTAATCTTGTGTAAATAGGAGTCAGATGTTGAACTATGATTTTGGCTTTACACATTATGTAAGAAGGGCATCGGCAGATTCTTTATCAACCATGATTTCATCAGAATTTTTAAAGCCTAGCATAAATATGTAATAAAATTCATATAAAACTATTACCTATTTTAGTTTAAATTATCAGAAGAGTTACTGTTCTAAATGTTAAAACATGTTTTAAAACATTTTTAATTTAGTATATGAACTTACAACTATTCAAATACATTAAACTTAAATTAATTTTTTTTTTTTTAAATAATCAAAAAACATTATGGCAAGATTAGTTAGTTACATAAAATTGGAAATTCTTTACAATGCATTAACTTAAATTAACACTGAACAGCACATTACAGTATTTATTAATCATTAAGGTCACTCCATAAAAACACAACTTCTCATTGTTATTTCAAGCCAGCTGGTCCATTAAATACTTACGATTTTAAAAATGCATTACAAAATGTCATAATACAAACTAGAATTAATAAATGCAATGTTGAAACTAATATAGTTAAACAAACCACTCTTGTAAAATGTTAAACATTACTTAATATCAAGATAAACACCACAAACAACATATGAATATTATGTTTTTATTGAAAAAATAAAATTACATTTAAGGGAAAACAAGTCCTTAAAACAAGAGCCACTTTGCCTGAAACAAACACTATTAAAATGAAACTCTGACGAACTCAAATCATCAACTCCCAAAAACCGTTTCAGTCTCAGACACAAACCTGTGCATTTGTTGAAATTAGTGAACTCAAAACCTTCAATACTGCAAGAAAGCAAATCATGTGCATTTATTACATCACCATTTGGTCCCATACAAAACGTTCACACTCTTTGACGTTGCAGTGTTACATTCACAATTGGCTAAAGCAATTAAAGTGCATTTGTTTTCAAATCAACCAGACATTCTCTTATATTAAGGCAAAGCGTACATCACTGTGCCGATTTAAAAGAACCAGAATTAAGATTAAATTACACAACAGTTTAACACTGGCTTTAACAGAGACACTGTGCAACACACACTCAAACTCTCAGATGCCACAATACAAATAAATATCTGGTCAAAGATGTATAAATACAATACTTTAGTCAATATAAAGCAGCTTTAGTAAGAAAGTGGGCAGTGCAACTTAAATCAGCATGAAATAATGCTGTGTTTGTAGTGTTGATTCAATTGCATTGCCCAACTGGATCAGAACAGCATTTGATTCTCTCAGTGGCACTTACATATGCATTTTTACCATATCGAAACACACACACAAAATCGAAACACACACACTGGACACATGAAATCGAATACGTTGGTCCCTGATTTCAGCTTTCAAACTTTTTTCCAACAGATTTCGAACTGAATAAATAAGGAGATGTTAATTAACAGTGTCATCCCTCCACCCTCACATTCACAGAATGAGATCCTCCACACCTCAAGGTTCAAAACCCCGAGATTTAGTCCTTTCGTCGAGCCTTATCTCGACTGCACGCCTAACGACGTCTTGATGTGCTCGTACACCACATAGCTGATGCTGACCGCTGGGATGACCTTCAGGAAGTTCGGGGTCAGACCCCGATAGAGACCCGTCGGCCCCTCGTTCTTCATGATCTGCTTGAAGAGTCCCGACATCGAGACCTGGGACGAGCCCCCGACTGCAATTGCAGGAATAAAAACACCATTTAATATTCAACAATTACAAGACTGAACTGGATTTACAATTTTTACAACAAAAATGAACAAGCTGGACTATGATGTTGAAATTTTCTGTATTATTTTTGATCACTGTAACACTCTGTATTATAAAAAGCGCTATATAAATAAAGGGAACTTGACCATGAGAAACAACATTCAGTAAACGCATGCAGAAAAGCTCATTATAAAGCCTGGAGCTCACCTTGCGCCTGCATTCGTGTCCGTACGAGAGCCAGTGGGTAACTGGCGAGCTGGCCGCACGTGCTGGAGACCGTACCACACGCCAGAAGCACAAACACACCCGGATTCGCATTATCCGTGCCATAGCGCTGAAGCCAAGTGTTCTTTAATGTCTATAAAGAGCAAAATTAGGAAAAAAAATTAGCATATTCTACAATCTACAGTGATTGCTACCTATTGTGCCCTTTAGAAAGTCTTGATTTTGCAGGTTTTCACACAAATGTTCATTATTTTTCTCATATTCTCAGTAACGTTCTGTTGAGTTCTCTATGAAGCACCTCCTTCTGATTGGTCAAGTTACCATACCTGCCAGTTACTAACTCAACCAGGCCCCGCCCCTTTATTCTGCGTATGAATTATTCAAATGAGGAATAGTGACGCGTTCGCTCCTCTGCTCACCTCATAGACTGCCAGGTCGATGCCAGCGTACGGGATGATGCCTAGCATGTTTGGTACGTAGCCTTTGTAAAACGCAGACATTCCCTCCACCTTCAGGATGTGTTTGGCACAGTCGGAGATGCCCTTGTACTGGCCGGTCTTTCTTAACGCCAGACGAGTTTTGAGAACCTGAACAGAAGAGCATTATGGGTATTTTCATTATAGCGTTGTATCCAGATGTAATTAAAGCATGCATATGAAGCACAACCATGACACTGAAGTAGAGCACAGAATATCTCTATACATACACACACACACATTATATATAACGAAATGCAGTAGTCAACATTTGAAGTGGATCGAAAAAGTTCAAAGTTGTCCTAAGACAAGAACAGGTATTGTTCGAAATTCATGTATAACTTTGATGAAAGGTTTTGATCCACTTCAAATTTTGACTACCGTGTATATGCATGTGTAAATATAATATATATATATATATATATATATATATATATATATATATATATATATATACATATATATTTATTTATTATATAAATATATATACATATATTTATTTTATGTATATATATATATATTTTTTTTTTTATTTTTTATTTTAAATGAATATATATGAATATATATATATATATATATATTTTTTTTTAAATAAATAAATATAAATATATATATATAAATATATATATATATATATATATATATATATATATATATATATATATATATATATATATATATGAAGAGTTCAGATGCAAAAGCCTCTAAATGCCATTTGAAATTTTCTTCTTTAATGATGATTTTTGTCAAGCTTGTATATTTAAGTTCAGTGATTTCACTTAAATGGCAATGATAATTACCTATTAATTGTTATTTAAGTGAAATTACTGAACTTGAATATACAAGTTTGACGAAAATCATCATTAAAGAAGAAAATTTCAAATGGCATTTAGAGGCTTTTGCATCTGAACTCTTCATATAATGAGCCGTTTTGTGAGGTGGAGCATCGAGACTCACCTCCATGGGGTAAATGGAGCTCTGAGCAATGACTCCTGCCAGGGAACCAGCTACAAAACGCTCTCCGATCCCCAGCGTCTCCCCACTGCTTCCAATCAGCCGTTTAATCTGTCAACAGAAAAGTCATTCATTTAATGATACACACAAAGTTTGATTTCCTTATTTCTAAACATGCACTAATTTTGTCATACATTTACATCCAGATCATCTCTCATCCATTACCTGCTCATAAGCCATGAATTTGAGGGCGGATTCAGGAGCGATTTTGATGACGTTGATGCCGTTGCCCCTCCATAACGAACGCATCCCCCCTTCCTTGATCATCTGGGCGACACCACTCATGAGACACATGTTGTTACCGTGAGTACCGTGTACCTGAGACAAGAAAATAGGTTTATTACAACCTGTTGTGTCTAAATAATAACAGATGATATCACACTTTACTTAGTTTCAGTGATCAAACATTTTAGACCCTCACAAGAGAGCATGTCAAAAAAAAGTAGGTGAAAGGTTTTAAACTGAATCAACTGAACGATTAAAGTCCAGCTGAGTAACGGCTGACGTAAACATGACTCGCTGACAAAGATCTTCACTATCGCACAGTCATGACAACGTCCACTCGTATCGGACCAATCAGAGTGCAAAACAGAGGGTGTGCTTGACCACTCGGATTCTGATTGGACGCTAGAATAATCTGTACAATTATTCTGTTCCCCGGAACATACATTTATGATACTGATAAACTACACTTATGACTCTTGGGTAACAAAACCAATTGTTCTGGACTTACGGTTACGAAACCAGTTTTTCTGGGCCAATCTTACTAAATAAGTTTGCCTTATCCCTGATAAAAAAAAAAAACAATGACATTTTGGTGGTTCTTCAGTCTGTATGGCCCTTGTATGTACTGTAAACTTGGATTCATTTCAAATATTTACTTATTTTGACTTCCCATTTTGCTTGCCCTTATACAGAATGATTTCAGGATTGGGATTTATTAAGGACTACGCCCTTGATTGAGTAACTTTTTAATATAGTGTTCAAACACACTGATCTAGTTCTCTTGAACTCAGAGACGTGATCCTCGTACCTGCATGAGGACTTTGAGTCGGTCGAGCGGCGCAGTGAAGGTTCGAGACACGGCTCCAGCTCCTCCACCTGCAACCAGATGTCTCCACCACATCCCCGTCATGTGCTCCTCCGACGTAAACTCATCTGGTACCATCAGGTTCTCTCCCACATCAAAGATCTACAAAGAAACCGATATGTGTAAATCAGTGAATGACGACTAGCATTTTGCATTAATAAAACAAAGCAAATGAAATCAGTGGATAACAACTAGTATTTGGCATTAATGCTACTTCAGGAGAACTAAAGTGCAATGACCTTGGCAGCAACAGTGTGTGTTCTGACCCGACCGGTGACGCATTCAAAACGTTTTTGGCGCTCCGAGGTGACATTTGATCAAAAAATCCATTGTGGACTTTGGAAACCCTCGGAAACTTGCGCACATTGCATCAGTCCATTTTATTACGCACTGAACTTGTGAGGACAAAGGCTGCAGTCCAGTTTAAACTCACTGAAATTGAATCAAACGTCTCAAATTGAACAGCTAATAGTGCATGTCAACAAGACTTGTTGCATAAGGAAGGGACAGTTATTCTTGGTTTCATTTGAGTACTTTGCCAAAATGTAATGGATGGATGCATGCATGAACTCCAGCGGTCAGGACACAGATGAGTTAAGATTTAGTAGCTGTAACGTTACACTTATTAAACTGGAGCCTGTCCTAGATCACAGTGTTCCTGTCGATATTTTAGGCAGCCACTTTACGACCGTCCTCAACCGTATTTCTGAAGGCCTACGTCCTAGAACAATCCTAAAACTCAAGCCAGCCTAATTTACACACCTTTTAAGAAACCTGAATAATTTCCTGCAGACATATTAATCAGATGATCCCCATATTTAATATATCAGATCCTCATATTAATCAGACACCAGATCCCCATATTAAATATTAATCAGATCCTCATGTTGAATAGTAATCAGATCCCCATATATTACATTAATCAGATCCCAGATCCCCATATATTAAATTAATCAAATCCCCATATTTTACATTTATCAGATCCCCATATTAAATATTAATCAGATCTCCATACCAATCAGATCCCCATACATTAAATATCCCTATACATTAAAATCCCCATATATTACATTAATCAGATACCAGATTCCATATTAATCAGATCCCAGATCCCCATATATTAAATTAATCAAATCCCCATATTTTACATTTATCAGATCCCCATATATTACATTAATCAGATACCCATATTAAATATTAATCAGATCTCCATACCAATCAGATCCCCATACATTTAAATATCCCTATACATTAGAAATCCCCATATATTACATTAATCAGATACCAGATTCCCATATTAATCAGATCCCAGATCCCCATATATTAAATGAATAAAATTCCCATATTACATTAATCAGATCCCAGATCCCCATATTATTAAGATCCCAGATCCCCATATATTAAATGAATAAAATTCCCATATTACATTTATCAGATCCAAGATTCCCATATTAATCAGATCCCAGATCCCCATATATTAAATTAATCAAATCCCCATATTTTACATTTAATCAGATCCCCATATATTACATTAATCAGATTCCAGATCCCCATATTAATCAGATCCCAGATCCCCATATATTAAATTAATCAAATCCCCATATTTTACATTTAATCAGATCCCCATATATTACATTAGTCAGATCCCAGATTCCCATATTAATCAGATCCCAGATCCCCATATTAAAATTAATCAGACCCCAGATCCCCATATTATTCAGATCCCCATAATCGCTTTGCAGTCATCAGGAACAAAGCAGCTTTTTAACTAAACAGGGCTTTCAGGTTGTTAAATCCTAAAGCATTTGAGGATTTGGACTAGAATTAGTTTGAGGGAGAAACACTTACAGTTGAGTGTTTCCAGTACAGGATGATTTCGGGAATGTTCTCGGCAGGTTGCAGCGTGGGATACTTTTTCCACTCGTTCCAGTCAATAGTCATTGTGCCATTTTTGTCCATGCTACAAGAGGAAAGACAGTTTACAGCCTGGAAACAAGCTCTGCGCTAAAAGAAAAAAAATCTAACAAAGCACTGACTCAATTCATTAAGAGATCAATGCATTTATATAGTTATAAACTAACTGGAAGTGTGTAATATACAAAAGCTAAACATATGAAGGTAAATGAAACCAGTTTCAAGAACTTTAGTCAACAAGGGAACATTGCCAATTTTTTTATCCAACAATATTTCACCTATTAAGGACTTTCTCCGCTTGCTGCAGGGAAATATAGACGCCAAGATCTCGCAAGGAGTTCACAATGTCACTGGCGTTCACTTGACCTGACAAGAAACAAATTAAAGAAAATGTCAGTTATTTAAAAAAAAAAACAACAAGTTTGAGTTTGTAAATCAAGTAATGCATTGCATCAAGGTATAATACCAGCTTTCTTTCTATCCAGGCTTTTGAAGACAAGCTTCAGGTCTTTCTCTTGGTCTTGGAGGTAGTGAACAAACTCTTCAAAAGTCCAGCTGCCCATCATGCTCTTTCTCTTCATTTTTCAGTGTTTTCTGTGGGAGGAAAGACAATTTTTAATGCAACCAAATCTAATTAGTGTGCGCAACCATGAATATCCAAAGCATTCAGCAGAAAAAATCATTGCACAAAGTGTGAATACCGACAGCTGGAAAACTAGAACAGAGGGAATGAGTGTCTTTAGTTATTAGACGGGAAACTATGCAGATACAGGCTTAAAAGACACCTGACACAATACAAGACCTGTGAAACCCAGGTAAGTGTCTGTGCGTTTCACTAATACTACAAGAAAAGTTTTAATAATATTAACTACTGACTCACAAGGGAGCATTAAGTCATAATCAGATCAGACTCTCAGTCTCCTGTCATTAAAATGACTGAATGCGTTCTCTAGAAAATCTAATCATGAGATTATAATCATGTTTGTACACTCATCCCGATTATTGCAGCAGCTCAGACAATCATAATCTATAAACTTATGGACCTATCAATTCTGATAGTCTCATTGAAACTGCACCACTAGGGCGCCCATACAACCTTCATTAAAAAAAAAATTAACATTAAAAGTATGAATCTTGAAGTTGTATCTAAAATTATTAAGTTACAGTATCATGGTGTTGATAAGGTTATAACACTGAACAGATTATTGATGCACTTTATTTAGTCAATAGTTTTTTGGTTCACCTAAAAATGCTTGTCAAAATAACTTGTGTTCTGCAAATGAAAGAAATTCATACAGGTTTGAACAACTTGAGGATAAGCAAATTAGAACAGAATTTAAATCTTTTGGGGTGACCTGTCCCTTTAAGCGCTGTGGGGACACTCCAAAATATGGTCATTTTCACGGAAACGCGCGCGCAGGAAAGAGGAACGAGCACCGGAAACGTCATGCGTCAAAAATGTGTAGGTTCTTTAAAAAAGCGAGGAGGAAAAAAGTGAACTACTTTTTACTTATTCAAAGGTCCGCTTACATTGAATAATATGTAAAGAAAGATTAGAAAGAATGTACATGTGATTTGATCATTTTTACCTTCTTCCATTTTCTGTATGTAGAGAAATTCCTGCGACGGCAGAAGGACGCTGAGAGACTTGAGCGACTTCAGCTCGACGGTAATCCATTCGACTCAAAATAGTCCACCTCGACGTTGATCTGAATTATGGACAGGCACATAAAGGCACAGGCACAACATCTTCAAAAAAGTAAAAGTCTTCGACGATAAATAAATAAATAACACAAGAACACATCGCCTGCCGGCGGTGAAACGCTGAAATGCCGGTAACGCTGCTGGGCTTGTCTAGAAAAGTCCTT